ATTTTTTAAAATTAAAAACTACCAACATTTCTCTCTTCATATCTATACATATAAAATTTATCATTGTTAAGTCGTAATGCTTATCAAATGTCATTTCTTTTTTATTCTTCGTGAAATTAAACTCATGAACGCAATTGTTATTAGAGTGCTTTATTCACAGAGAAATAACTTTGGCGTATTTTATACTGTCGAATATAAAAATCTACATTTGTATGTTTGCTTAAAATACAAACAAAACGTATCATGACCCATTTTCGTCGCTTTGCGGACTTTACTAGTGGTATACGGGTTCACTATATTTATTGCGCGGTTATATGAAGTTTACGAAGTATATTTCGCTGCAGAGAGAGAGCAGCTCTCACGAATACGCGCTCATAATGCACGAATAACTTTGATAACAAGCTATAATTTCAGACAAATATTTGAGAGGTTGTTAATTGAATAATCTGAAATTCGAGCGTTATGGCGCCAACGATAATAATCCCTTCACTGCTTATTCGTTTTCGATCTACTGATGTTATCAGTTTTAATTCATAAAACGCACGAGAAACGCTACCCACAATTAAAATACAGAATAAACTATATTAACTCTTTGGCATTTATTAATAACCTTACTTATATAAATTGGTATCTATAGTACATAGAAAAACATCCTGCGATAATAGCCGCGTAGATACCGCGCTGCGATAGTACGTTCGTGGAATATAGGACCAAACGAATAAGAATGGATACGACACGAATAGCGTGCCATTGTCGTTTCATTCATTTCTGCTGGATTCACCGCCGATTGAGGAGAGAGCCTAATAAAGTTCGCGTATCTCATATACGTTGCGTCACGTGTATCCTTTCAACAACGCGTATCCGCTTATAAATAAATGATCTTTTTTATCCTCGAATCAACGTCGTGCTCGCTTACGTCGCGTAAACTTTATAGCAAATTAACGATTCAGCTTGACTGCTCGCGATATGATCAGAAGTGCGATTTAGACTGGATAATGTAAGTGATCTTTGATGTTCTAATGAAATCTAATTCGAAGATACACATGGGATTATAATAAATCATTAATAATATTTATTTAGAATTATTGATATTATTAAAAATGCGAAATTTTATCTGTATAAATTGCAAACAACATTTAAATGACATTTCTAATTGCAATTAATAATAATAATTCATAAATTTAAATATTATTTTCATTGTTTAGAAGAAAACGCAATTATATTTGAAGAAAGAGGGAGAGAGAGAGAGAGAGAGAGAGAGAAATGGAATTCCGCTTATTGTATACAATATGTGCTTTCCAACGTCGCATAAATTATAATATATCGCGCGGTATATTAGACGTATTTATGAGAGCCAAAACTTTCGTGATAGTTTCTCCTCCGACGATGAAGACCGCTGCCAAATGGACCGTCGATGTAAGTCTTGTCGTTTGGACGGTGACTCTGCGCGAGGAGGAATACCTCCGTCGATGAACCAGGTTGGCTCACCAGCTCCTTCTTTTTTTGTCTTTTTCTACCTCTCACTGTCTTTCTCTCTCTTCTCTCCATTTGCGCATATAAATAGCGCGGTCCAAAATTATCGGGGCACTTCAGCGAACGGTGCCGCGAAAGTGGCGTCCGAGAACAGACCAGCGATTTCTGCTAGATATAAAAATATACGCGGGAACGACATGGACGCCCGATTGGCGACGTGCATTCTTCAACAAAAAGCACGATGAGAGCAATTATACGAAGAACAGAGGATATAGAATTATTTATTCTCTTAAACCTTTACAATCTAAACTAGTTTCAACAGTGATTGAAAAATATGCAAAAATCAAGTATATAATAGCAAATAAGTTATATAAAAGCGGACTTATAATAAATTTTTCTAAAATATTATAATAGAAAATTAAAAGCAAAGAGTTAAATTCTTATTGTGAATGTATCTATATGTCACAATATTTAACTCGTTTCAAGCTATTATCTTTTTATTTTTTTTTGATAATAAATATTTATGGATTAAATATTTTAATTTTATTTTAATAGTCAATATGCGAATTACATTATTCATTAAAAATTGCTCCATTTAAGATATCGCAATGTATTTCAGAGACAATGACAATCAAGTTTTTAGGCCTGCGAATTGTGAATTTTAAGCGAAATGCCCATATCCCGATGCTGAACTCAATCAAAAATTTAAAACACGCGCGATCCGCTCTGAATAATTTATACGTTGTATAATGACACGGTATATCGTAAGAAGTTTTTCAAAATAAGCCAAAAGTGTATATAGATTTTTTTTTTAAATAACAAAGAGAGAGAATTTACAGCAGGAGAAAAAATATTAATCTTTATGGGAACAGTATTTAATTACAAACTAAAACGGATATTAAACTAAAAATGATTTCCATAATTTTGTATAGTAACTTGAATCTTTCATATAAAATACATGGATTAATTTCAAAACATCTTTATACAACTGTAGTGCATACTGATAACATCAATTTAATGATCGCATTAAATTTTAATTGTAATTTGAGTTGAAGGAATTGGCGTCAGCTGCATCTGATGACGCGGTCAGTAATTACGCGATTAGTCGACGTATATAGGTTGACAGCATTGAGAGAAAGAAAGGCAAAAAAATGTCGAGAATTTATAATTCTAATTCCATAATAAGTAATTCGTTGTCGATAAGCCGCGGCGGTGAGCAAACGCGAAAGATCTTGGTCGCTTATAAATGGAAATATAGGAGCAGAAAAAAATCTTATTCGTATGTAAACGGATCTGAACTGTTGAATTTGCTTCTTCATTTCCGCTTTCGTGATGTCGCATTATCGCATAATTCCACGAGGATGATCTGTCGTATTTTGAATATTGAATACGCGGATAATTGCGTTTAAAGCAAATTCCACTTTGACCTATATCGGATTCGATTAAAATAATTCTTTAATGAGAGAGATATATTTATATTATATTTTTATTTATTTGTGCTTAGTCCTTGCCTTTCGGCTTAGGACGAACTTCCGGTTACAAAATTTTTCCATCCACTCTGCGCTTATATATAAATTTAAATTTGCCTTTAATACAATACACTGAAACTCAATTAAAACTAAAGTTAAAATTTAAATTTAAATTGAAACTGAACCTGAACTTAAATACAATTCAAAATAAAATAAAATATAGACTACACTAAGACTGTAACTGAAAGAACTGGAGCTATATAAACTAACACAAACTAAAACAAAAATAGAATAGAATAAAATTGACAATAAAATAAAATCAAAATCAAAATAATAAATATAAAAATAAAAATAAAACGCAGAGAGATATATTTATATATTAATGTAAATAAAAGAAAGTTAATGTGAAAATGCGCGATTCATTTTTAATAAATCTATGATGTGTTAGATTTTTTTAACGGAATTAAAAAACTACTTGTACACACAATTCAATAATTTACTGATGTCTCAAAACTATTGTATATAATATAAATATTACGTTCGTTTAATACATGTTGAAATTCTAGCCAATGCATCTTATAAATATATGTTAAATAGTAAGAGAATAAAATTAATGTCACAGAGGATCTGCTAACATAACGCGTACTTGAAATAAAGCGTTATGTCATTAAAGTGGAATTTAGTAGAATCGACGCACACCGCAAGATGCGTAATAGAGTTTCCTAAATGAATTATGTTTGCAGAATTATTATGTGGTCACCGATGCGTTTCCTATATGTTTCAACCACGTTTTAGATATAGCTCTATTATTTCTTTGCTGCGGAGAAATATCTATTGACAGATTATTATTAGCGATTATTCACACCACGTGAGTATTTTCACGATTGCGAAAGTTTAGTGTGAAAAATATTAGCCAGTTACTTTTCTCTTTTGTGCATAATATATGATCAATGAATTAAATATATTCGTTATATTTTTATTTTTTATCGATTGGTGACAACCGGATATTTTATATTTTAATCTCAACCTTGTTGCGAAAATAAATGCATTCTTACATATACAAGATCATGGATGGAATAAGAGTAAATGAGATACTGGCATAAATATATCTGATATGTGTTATTTTTGCTACGTTTGGTAGTGTTGAATTTATGAAATGATAAATTAAACATTAATATTGCAATACACATACACATGTTTTCTTTTAATCATTAATTAAATCACGTGATTTTGTATTATTTATCTTTCCATTATCTTGTATACGTTAGATTATATAAGTACAATATTTTGAGTAACATCCAAAAATCGAGATATGATTTTTAATACAATCCAAACATAACGTTTGATGACTCGACTATCATTTCTCTTTCAATGTAATTATTCGTAACAAATCAATTCTTTTTTACGCGTCATGTAATCGATGGAACATAATGTAACGCCTACTAAAAAGAATTAGTATTTTCTCATCTCACATATTACATCAAGAGTGCATTAACGTTTATGTATTTATGGAAACGTCATAGCAACTGTATACAAGAATTTTCTGGTATTATGATACTTTACTGATGCGGCCTCGAGCACTTTATGTACAATCGTTGCCACGTGCGGCAACGATAGATATTATCCAAACCAACGAATCTATCATCATCGTAAATTTGATGCGTCATTAGTGCTTTACGTAATAAAAAAATTTTCTCACGTAATAAAAGAATCGATTCAACGTCCTTTATGTCAGGGCTTTTTACGCATTTCCCCGTGTCAACAGCCATATCGCAGCATCCTGATGTGGTGCAGATAATCAGCAATTAGCATCGATTAATTGATTTTGCGCGTTTTCACTTCGCGGAATTTTTTTGCCAATTCGCACTGAGAGTATTGAGAATTCTTCGTGAATCACTCCTCCCCCCCCTTAACATCGTACACGACGACATTCGTTTTCTGAGTCACCTGAGAGTCCAACATCTGATCGCCGTGCATGATGAGATCTCGCCTGCTCCTCCTTTTTTTTCCCCCAACTCCAATAGTCAGAAGTGATTAAATGTGCTGTGCTCTTCGCAGAGACCCACACTGTGGCGATGACAGACCCACAGCTGACCAACAACAACAATAATAACAACAATAACAATAACAATAACAACGATGGCGAGCCAAAATACCTGCACAAGAAGTTCAAGAAGATGGCGACGACCGAAATCGCGCCGAAGGTCGTCGAGCCTAGGAAGGAGACCACGGCGAACAACATCGTTCCTGCCGAGACGCCCAAACGGAAGGACATCGACAAGGACGGTAAGGAGTCATCGAAAGAATCCGGCCACAAACTCGAGGTTTCCTCGGAACCCGAAGGAACCGAACCCGCCGAGTCTCGGAAAAGCGGCCATACGTGCCCTTATTGCAAGCTGACATGCGCCAAACCGAGTGTTCTTCAGAAGCACATCAGGGCGCATACGAACGAGCGACCGTACCCGTGCAAGCCGTGCGGATTTGCTTTCAAGACCAAATCAAATCTGTACAAGCACTGCAGGTCACGCTCTCACGCGCACAAGATGGAAAAGGGCGACAAGGTAATTCGTTATTAAAAATAATTTAAAATATAATTTTTAACAAAAATAGATATTATTAATCAAATGATTACGCTTACGATAGAATACGTTTTTCTTGTTCTTAATATCACTTGGTTAAATTTAAATAATTTTATGTAACATTGTAATAAAATCTTGTTTTTTTGCAAAATATGAGTTATTGATAGAAATACAAAATTCAATTTTCAATGTATTAGCATTTTTGCAATTTGCAATAACAATTGAGAATTTACTAAATAATTTAACATTATCAATTAACGCTAAGCATCTCAACATGCTTCAATTTATGACATTTTTTTGTAGATGTCTGAAGATTCCGATATAAGTCTGTCGGACAGCGCCAGTAATGGTACAGGCACACCACCTCCGCCTCCCGTTTCGACGCCCACGACGACAACGGCAACAGTATCCACCGCTACTGTGAAGAGTGTGAAAACCGGCAAGATATACAAGCCGAAGTTTCAAGCTCGAACGACTTTACAATGCGTCAACAGCGACACGGAAACGTCTTCCTTATCGCCCAGTTCTTCCAGTAGTTCCTCCTCTTTCTCCTCTATGACTACTTCCGCTTCCAATTCCGTCAAGCCGAACGCGGAACAGTTGCAAGAGCATATTGACAAGATCATCACGGACAATCAGGCGATTGTCGATGCAGTAGACCCACGTCTACATAAGCTAATGCAGCGCCAACAGAGTCTGGTGGAGATGAAACAATCGTACGAGCAACAACCGTTGAACTTGTCTTCCACAGAGGAAACCTTGAATAGCAGAAAGCGTTGCTACAGCGACAGCTGTGCTCAGGAAGCAAAAGAAAGCGCACACAATTCTGAAAGTTCGATCATCAAAGATCTCCTCCTGAAAACTCGTGATTTTGCCAATGGATCAATACCAGAGATTACTCTGGAAAATTTCATCTGTCCCACTTGCCATATCCCCTACACCAGCATAGTATGCCCTACACCAGCATAGACAACCTAGAGGCTCATCGTAAATATTACTGCAAGGGTAGTCCACGAAGAGGAACGGACTATCAGGTAGAGCTGGAGAAACGAGATTCTGACTTTGATTCCAAGTCTTCCGATTACTACGGCATTTTGCAGCCTTTACCATCGCCGGGCCCTCTACTGGGTAATACTAGGCTGGTCGACGCATATGCTCCACCCATCAAGAAGCAGAGAACGGAGTCTGTGCCAACCAGTTTGAGGTCGCTGGAGGAACTGAGTAAGTATCCACGTCCGAACTCGCTACAGATGTTCGGCGGTGAGGTGAGAATCCTTGACAACACGGGCGAGGTAACGAAAACAATGCGGATCGAGCCGCGACAGACCAGCTCGCCCCCGAGCGACCACGTAATCAATGCTAACTGCGTGACTTCGGAGATGGCGTCGATAGTAGTGAGGTCGGGACTTCATTCCGGTGGTACCATGCTACACAAAACGTCGAGCATACCGGCCAGTACGCCCAGTCCCTCCATATCCCTATCCAACACGTCGAAGATGGCATCATCCATTATACCGAACATATCAACTCCCAATATAGCGCCTAACATGTCTTGCTACAATTATTTAGAGCCGCATCTCAATCCGCTGACGAGTATCACTGCCTACAATCCGTTGACTTTGCCGCAAACGGGCATCACGAGCATTCTCCACGGTGACAAGGTGATACGTTATGTACCCGGCATTCCCGGACCGCATACGCTGACCGGTACGCCAACCATAGACATATCTCCGAATATAACGGCCGGCGAAGCCGGTTATAAGGTGATACCGGGTTTACCGGGCTTACACATGGTACAGCAGCCGTTAGACTTGGCCAATCCTGTGAGGTTGCAACCCAGTACAGTACAGTCCGGCATGCCGGATCCATTGTCTGGACATGCTTCTTCCATATTGGACCAACCTCTGGACCTGGCCAGTCCGGCGAAGGAGCCGGCAAAAATCAGCTTTAAAACTCCCAGCGTCGACAGTTTGAAGAGCGTTTTAATGAGCGGTTTAATCAGTCCTAAAGTTCCTAGCGTCAAGGTCGAGACCTCGACGGACAAGCATCGCGCGAGAATAATGACAATGCCCATTAATAAAACGGAGCTAGATCGTCATATCAAGAATAATGTGACCGTGAAGTATAAGGCTATGGAGAATCCGCGAGAGAGAAGGGACTTCACATACGATAAGAGCCCGAAGCTAGACAAAACTTTTAGTTATCCGAACGGCGTTGACCCCGCAACTTCGTCGAGTTCTTACAGTAAGCTAAAATACACGACTAAGGTCATTTCGGAAAACAAAAAGAAGCTTTCCAATTGGAGCGTCAATGAGATAGATGTTGGCAGAGTAGCATCGGTAGAGACGAATATTGCGATCTCTAAATACGATCTACAATCTCACGAGAATGGTCGATTAAAGAGCAGCATCCCTTCGGATATACGTGGATCCAAGGTCGTGGATAGTTACATATTCAACGGGGCCAAAGTAAAGGCCGACAACGCGCCGTCGGTGATACTTGTGAATTTAGATTCTTCCAAAACAGAAGTGCCAACGAAAACTTCCACAGAATTAGTTGTTAAGGACAAACAGCCCGAGGCCAAATCGCCAAAGAGCGGCGGCGATGTCGCTAAGGAAGCAACTAACGCCAACAAATTCTTGAGACCTACATCCTTGCCGCTGAAGCCCGGCACTTTCACGCCGAAAAAGCATCATGGGATTACACCTACGGATAACACACTTCCTCTCATCAGCCCGGAGACACCTCGACCGAAAAAGTCATACGGACAATTATATTTGAACGGACACGCCTACACATATCTAGGACTAAAGTGTTCCACCAGAGTGTTCTACTGCACTCTGAATCGACCGCAGCCGATGTACGTTACGCAGCAGCACGGTCTATCGATGTACTCTAACTGGAAAAGTAAGGAGGCACCTATAGAAGTGGACATGGCGCACTACGATTCTCGGCACAGGCCTCTGAATTATACCACTGCGTGGAAGAAGCAAGAAGATATTCTGACGCACTCCTCGCAAAGACCAACCACTCCCAATAGTCCAGACAGCGGATTGGAGAGTGATATGCAGGAGAAAGCGAAGAGAGTGAAAATATTTGATGGAGGCTTCGAGAGTAATGAGGATTACACCTATGTACGCGGAAGAGGTGAGTAATGTTTATATTGTGTTATTTTATAGAAAATAAAACAAAATTTACAATCTTTATAATTCTTTTAACGATGTTTTAAAATCATGTGTAATATATACATAATTTTATTGCTTTCTCTTTTCTTTTTATTAATCTATAATTTATTAAAATAAAGCAATAAAATATAAGATTCAATGAGGCTTGAATGATAAAAATCAATTGATAGACAAGGAAGGCCAATTGAAGTCCAGACACAATAATTGAAGCATAAACAAAATATATTTTATTAAATATATATTTAAGATGTATTATACATTAATTCAAACGTTTCGACCCACTTCGGGTCCTTCTCAATGATATCGAGGTGGAAAATGAAAAAAATATAAGTAAAAAGCAAAACGTCATGAGGCGGAGTAATACGGTAAGCGATATAGTTAGCAAACAAAACGCAACTAAATTAAAATTTGTATCCTAGTGCGCATACGATATATATACAGGGTGTCCGACAAGTAAGTGACCACCACCTTTCGTTTGGTCACTTACTTGTCGGACATCCTGTATATATAGTATATATATAAAATAAAATAAAATCTAAAGGTTAGTCATTATTTAAAAGCAAATCGACAATTATCCTCAAGTTTTTTTCGTGGAAATGTGAATGTGACAGTCGAAAAACTCGATCCACTAACAATAAGCCAAAAATAACACTTTTTTTTATGACATGTGGGGTGTTGCTAATAAAAAGGAGATTTGGACGAGGAGCCTTCTTATGTTAAAAGATGCATATCAGAAATGCTGCATATCAAGTAACAAAAAAACAGCATCAACTTACAGGAAGACATGAGTCTCCTTGACCACTCTTATTTTCCTGTTAATAAATAAATTATTTTCCTATTATTAAATAAATGTACCTAACCCGATTCCTTTGTTTTTCTCATGTTTTGATCCTAAGTCTCCTTTTTTCTTTGTTTTTAATTTCTTTTGTTGATATTTATTTATATCTCTTGTATTTCCCATTCAATCCTGTTCTCTCTCCTTGTGGTGTTTTGCTCATTCGTTATCGAGACGTCATACAGATTATTTTGTCTTTTTCATATATCATCTTGTGTGTATATGACTTTTATGTTATTCTTATTAATTGGATCATTAATCATCTTAGTTAGAACTGCTAACGCCTCTACTCGCTGTAAGTACTTCTTCTATGCATATGTTTTTTTGGTCTGTTCCGACCAAATTAACATCATTTTTGTCACAAATTTTATAGGCATATAAGTACTTATATTATTGGGCATTATACTCCCGCAATATCTGAGAATTTACGCTCGCACTGGACTCGCATCCTCCCCATTCTCATTAAGTCTTTTATTTCATCACTCATTTGACGTCTATCAACTTTTAATTTCACTGACCGACATGTATTCTTTATAATGAGCCATCACATCATTGTGAAGGTGAGTTTAGGATTTACGTCAATGAGTCTGACCATTGTGTGACCTTTATTATGTTATCTTTTTTGTATTATCAGGCTCTATATGTATATGTATGTATATATCGTATGCGCACTAGGATACAAATTTTAATTTAGTTGTGTTTTGTTTGCTAACTATATCGCTCATCGTATTGCTCCGTCTCATGACGTTTTGCCTTTTACTTACATTTTTTTTCACCTCGATATTATTTAAAAAAAAGATCCGAAGCGGGTCGAAACGTTTGAATTAATATATAACACATCTTAAATGTATATTTAACAAAATGTAATATTTTGTTTATGCTTCAAGTTCCGCGTCTGGGCTCCAATTAATTGGCCTTTCTCGTCTATCAATATAATTTATTATTTTTATTTTCGTTAATAAAATTTTTTACAATAATTTGAGACATAAAAAACTTTAATTATCTTTATATATATTATGTAAGGTCGAGGACGCTACGTCTGCGAGGAATGTGGTATTCGTTGTAAGAAACCGTCTATGCTAAAGAAACATATCAGAACACATACAGATGTTAGACCATACACCTGCAAGCACTGTACATTTAGGTAAGTTCTTCAGATTTTTCCATGTAGCATGTGGCAAAAAAAGTATATAACTTTTATTAGCTTCTCTAGTAACCATACACCTGCAAGCACTGTACATTTAGGTAAGTTCTTCAGATTTTTCCATGTAGCATGTGGCAAAAAAGTATATAACTTTTATTCTAGTTTTTATCACGTAGTTTTAATTATTTGTGTAATAGTTTCAAAACGAAAGGCAACCTCACGAAGCATATGAAATCTAAGGCTCATTACAAGAAGTGCGTGGAGTTTGGCGTGGTACCGGTTCCTACGACCGTCTGCGACGAGAATATTGACAAGGAGGCCATTGCGCGATTAGCGGCCGGTGGTGGTAATACGGAAGAATCCTCGGAAGAGGAAGATGATAGCGATGGCGAGGAGAGCGAAGAGTCTGGTAGCGAAGAGCAAGAAGCGGCGCAAAGTCTACTGAGTCTTTCGCAACATAACGGGACGAACAGATTGCCAGGTTTACTGCCATCGGGCAGACCTACGACATATCCATATGCGCTAACCCTACCGACGACTTCCACGATAGATATTGTATCTACCGCAACGAGTACATCGATCGTGAGCAGCCAAAGTATTGCCGCGCAAGAAACGGCTCTAATACAAAACGAATTATCGCACCGTTACTATTTCCCATCGAGCCGCGACGCTACGGAAGAGACGAGGATCAGTGTCATTCAGTCATCGAAGAAAGATGATTCTGACTTGGAGATCGAGGAGATTACCGATGTCACAGAGTCGCGTCATCAACTTTCGCAGCCCATGGATCTCACGACGAAGCAGACGGCTCAACTGTTGCTCTCGCCAATTTCGCAAAGAGCTAGACCAGCAGATATACTGACTCCCGTTTCAGAACCGGTTCTATTGCAGACAATAGTTCAGACGATGGAGCGGTTGCCTATACAGGGTAGAGAATGGAAACCGAACGCGGAAGGTCACATGTTGCAGGCGTATCTTACAGAGAGACATATGATGGACAGTAAAATGAAACAGCAGTATCGCGTGGGAAACACCAAATTGGACAACAAACAAATACAAGAAAGAGATATTTATCCACGGCATCAGGATCTCAGTAGATCCAGGCACATGGATTCCAACGGCATTCCGTCAGTGACGTACACCGATCCCAGTAAAATGCAACATACTATTATGGAGTCTAGAATTAAGCATATGACAAAGCACACTAGTGACGACATTAAGATGGAAATCAGGGAGAAAATTTATCTCAACAATATGGCAATGGAAAGACGAATGTTCGACTACGAGACTATTCACAAGGATAAAGAACAATCTAATCGTTCGGTTTCTGATCGTGAAAATTTTGAGCTTGGTCTAACTAATGGTCCCACTGGTACAAGGCCAAGTATCGAATATGGTCTACCTATGAGCAAGACTAATAGCTCGATGGAGAGATCAATTTGTTCTACTGCATCTATCCGCAGCACGCCCAGTATCGACTGCCATTCACCGAAATCTTTGAATATAGATAACCGGCCACCGTTGATGCAACACTCGAGCAATGAGATTGATAGAAGTTCCATGTTCAACGCGATGAAGATGATGAGTGAGGTAGAAAGGTCTAGGGAATGTCATACTGTCAATCAGGAAATGAGGTCTGCGAATCATGAGATGAGACTCACGACTACTGATAGTCGAATGCAGAGTCCACGGAATCTCGATCTAAGACCGCCCAGCAGAGAGATCAGAACGCCCGGTCAAGAATACAGAATGCAGAATCACGAGCTGAGGCTACCGAGTCAACAAGAATACAAAATGCGCGGTCAAGAGATGAGATCGCCTAGTCGCGAGTACAAGCCATCGTTCGCTCACGATATACAAGTCATCCAGGAGCTTATGCCGTCGACAAACATGGAACTGCGGCAAACAAATTCAGATAATAGACCGTCGAGCAATGAGATGAGAGCTCTTTTGGAATATAGAGCGCAGCCTCAAGATCCCCGTGCCGGCTACGAGATAATGCAGTCGCCTATGCACGAGCCGTCCAAGTCGCAAAACGTCGACGCGAGAAATACATCGCCGCAGGAAGCACAAATCATCTATTACGATGCGAAACAGAACGCGGATACCGTTAAACAAAATACACCCGACAGTATGAAGCGAGCAGTAGCCAGAAAGATAGTCGTCGGCGGCCCAGATTTTCGATCGCCATCACCGAATACAGGAAATCCGAAACCGCAAGCAGAATTTTTACAACCATCGAGTGGGCCAGCGCCTAATTACGTTAGGTAAATGAATAATTGTTTCTTTATTATTTTGTTGATGCTAACTGGTGCATGATATATTAAATATATTACATTAGATTTATTAAAGATAGATTGAAAGAAAAATACGAGAATAGAAATTAATAAAACAGATGTGATCTTTTTGCTTTTTTTAAAAACAATAAAAATGTTCAATATGTGTAACATATATAATAATACATATATACTAACACGTATATAATAATAATAATTATTATTATTATATATTGTATATAGTATATAGTATATATATGTATATATATATATATACAACTTTTTATGTAAATATCAATCCGCATACACAAATATAAATTCTAGATTATAGTCTCGATCTGTAAAATTAAATCTTCCATTAAAAATATTTTATTTATATATTTAATTAAAAATTGGCATTTAATTAAATTTTATAATTCGCAGCTTTTAGATCTGCATGTTTATTTGATCTGCATTTATCAAAACAATTACTTTTCAAAACATATTTGATTGTAAAAACTAAGATTATATGAAATGTGGTTACAGTTTGACAGAGGATGGTAGGAGTATATGTGGAATTTGTAATAAGGTGTTCAACAGGCCTAGTCAGTTACGGTTGCATATCAATATTCATTATTTTGAGCGGCCATTCAGATGCGAAAGTTGTGCAGTTTCCTTTCGGACTAAAGGCCATTTAACGAAACACGAGAGATCCGTTTCTCATCATAACAAGGTAAGCAACGAAATTTATTTCCGCAAGCAATATTACATCACTTTTAGCTTTAGATTATATATATACAATAAATATATTTCATTACAGGTCAGTATGACTTCCACATTTGGTGCAGCGACTAGCAGCAATCCCAGGCCTTTCAAATGTACAGATTGTAAGATAGCGTTCAGAATACACGGACATTTGGCCAAGCATCTTCGTAGCAAGATGCACATTATGAAGTTAGAATGTTTGGGCAAATTACCATTTGGAACATTTGCAGAAATGGAACGATCTGGTGTCAATTTGAATGACATCGACACGACAGACTGTGATAATAGTCTTAATAGTCTGCAGGTTCGTATACAACAAAATTTAACTACACGCATTTTTTAAATTCAACAAAGAGAACATCAATAAAAAAACCGGATTTTCTTGACAGATATTGGCTCAGAGATTATGCGGGAAGGATCCTGCTAAAATTGTGCAATGGGATTCGGAAACTCTGCCCGGGCCGATTGTGAGCGGTGGCGAAACTTCGTCAGATGAAGGTGAACCTATACCGCAGCATGCACTTCACGCACAATATGTAAAAACGACGACGGATGCGGACGTTTCCCGATCATATCATGTGCCAATCATTACCGAAGAATCGAAAGCCATTAACGATGCTCGTCTACGCAGTCCTCAGTTTAATCAGCAGAGGCGCGATTATGCTGTTAAAGAACATCGAACAATACCGGCCGTCGTTTCGATGGAAGACACGAGGGCAGAAGAAAATTTACAATCATACAAGTGCCAAGTTTGCTCTGTATCTATGCGTACCATAAACGAATTACAGGTACACCGTTTTGTTGAACATAATATTGAAACAGATTCTAGTACAAATATCCATGGAGATAGGAGTGCGGGTAAATGTAGTAGGGAAAAAGAGAATACTCAGAAAAGAATCGCAGAGGAATCTGCAGTGAAGGAAGATCACATTAGGCAAAGACTAGAAGATACATAGTGCCAAAATGATATAGCGTGCTAAAGAATTTGTTTGGATGGTGTCTGCAATGTTACACACTTCGAACACTCGGTTTTAAGATAATGTATCTTATAGAAAACGCATCACAGATATCTTACAGAGAAAAGTCTCGCGCGGTACATCCTAAAAAAAAATATCTCAATAAGTAGTACAATGTTTTATGTTCTTGGGGAGAAAGATTTCTTAAAAATTAACATATTAACGCATGTTGAACGCTTGCAAAGATTTAAATAAATCGCGCGTTGTTTGTAATAAAGAATTGCGTGTTATAAATTTGCAATTTGACGTTGCCGGAGTATTTCACAAATTTCTGAGGATTTTACAAAATTTATCAGAGAAGTATAAAAGATATGGTAAAAATGTCGTAAAAATGTTAAACAAACAACATAAATTAAAAAGTACTGTCTTGATCATGTTTCTTCTACTATAGATATCGGTTCACTTATATTGCAAACAGTCCTAACGCGACATAATCGCTTGTACAGTCCTCCTATAAGACTACATTCTTTCCCATAAAATCGGCATGATATAATGCGTAAGTAAAATTTAAAAAAAAACGTAGCTCGAGAGAGAGAGAGAGAGAGAGAGAGAGAGAGAGTATTTGATAATAATTATAATATTTATACACAATAGTATCTCTTGTAGCGAGCATGACGTGCAATGAACTAGCATGTGATTCTGTATTTAAAGTGCAAATGTTGCTTTCAACATGTTGAAGAGTATTCTAATATTACACTTTAAATTGATATAAAGCTTATATACATATATACCATATATTATATATATATTTGTATGATATTAGTACGCGAACAACTATGAGAGTTATTGTTGACATAAGATGAAATGCGTGTTTGTATATATTTATGTATAATATAATGTGAGAAATCATGTTTTTTAGTCTCTATTATAGTTTTAAGAAAAATCAGAAATCAGAAATTGTATCGGTTGCTCAGATTACTTATACATTTACAAGCACTTTTATTAAACGTGGCAAATTCTTTAGTTTCATGTCTTGAAAGATTTTCTTACAAGTAAATAGGATATGATAAGTATATTTATTTTGATTTTATCGGAAACATTACTAGATATTGTTTAGTTATCTCCATATCTTACATCTGATATTAGTTTAAATCTTTATTGATCTTACTCGTTAAATGCTCTGAGGGACCGATTTGCTGATTCTGCTTAAGACATTTAAGAAGCCAGATACCTTCCATGAGCGACAGCTACCGTATCTTATAATTAACTGTTTATCTTTCTGTAATGCTATATGCAGTTTTGATATCTCACTCAAGCACGACAATGTCTTTCCTATACTGCATAATCAGACACCGTTTATCACAATTTGTACCTAGATGTGCTTGGGCTAAGATAATAGAGATACGGATATATGGAATGACTGCACAATTGTATACAATGAGGTCCAGTCCAAGTGATTGTCACTAAACGATATCAATGTAGCATAGTCTAACATAGCATTTTGGATGTATATCTATTATCTATACAATTCTATCGACTCCAACCGCAAAACTACATACGAGCTTCCAAGATGTACATGTGTTTTATGTACCCAAAATGCCAAGCCAACAATTTGCGTTTGAAGAGATCAGCGAAAATAATGATACATCAAAGTTGACTTTCAATATAAATGATAACACGATTTTTTCATGTGAAATGCATATTTTGCAAATACGTGTAACATACATCTCTCTTGACTATTCGCATGTATACTTATATGTGATTTTGAAAGAATGTACTTTGCCAAATTATAGATTCATATTCTCAATATATTTTCGAAACATAGTTGTCCGTAGAAATATCAGATATATTCAAACGTATACATATCATATCCACTGATCTCTCGATATTAACCGAGACGATAGATGGCTATGCGTTTTATCATTTGATCAAATCGAATGTCACACAGTACAAGTTAGATTTACTTGGTAACGGACTTGCAGTTCTGAGTGTGCACTCTGAACATGATCGCAATTCAAATTCTACGTTAAACTGAACGTTTGAAAAGTATTGTATGACAATATCTCTGAAATTAAATAATATCATACTAATTTTTATACATAAAAATTGTAAAAAGATTTTTACAATTTCAAAATTTTGTTATAATCACTTTTTTAAAAATTCGTATACATATAATACTATGCGATTTCAAGATCAAAGGATAATTCTTGAATTACGCTGTCTGATCGCAAAATATGACTATGTATATCATCACAAAATATGATGATTTTGAAATATAGTTATGTGTGTGAAATGTGGAAAAAAGAATATTGATTATAATTCTTATATTTCAATTAATCTGTTTTTACAAAAATATTTTAAATTTCGATAATTGTTCAAGTGATAGAATATTGAATATATATCTCTAAATAGAGCGGGTACTTCAAAATGGCTGATTTCATTAAGATATCGAGAATAATATATCTCAGAAGTAATTTGAGATTTACTTGATTATATAATATACTGGTCATTCAAATTCAAGAAGCCAACGGAAGAATAATTTTAATTATGAATTAGAGAGATATATGAAAATTAAATTATAGGAAAAATATTTATCAGAAATGTTATTAATCTTAAATCTTTTATTTTAAAAAGCAAAGTTTATTACTTTCTTGCATTGAATGATCGATATGCTATTCTAATTGTTATCCTCCTTATTATTTCGGAAAAGATTCAGCCGTGTAATTCACGAACATGCGATTGATATGTTTTAATTGTATTCCAATATCTTCCTTTGTATATTATACCATCTGATATAATAATTTATTTATTAAGACGATTCAACATATAACTTTTACGATATTCGAATTCGATTAAATAGAGTCTGTATTTGCGATAAGTACTAAAAAAGAACCATATTATAAACTAATATCCTAAAGTAAGTACAAGTATATCTGATAAAAAAATGGAGACATATTTATTATTGAGAGCGTGTATACATGCTCGCATCTACGATTTACATGAAAAAGGTTGGCTTGGCTTCTTTCAGACTCAGTATTAGATTTTGAGAATAATGGAGAAAAAAGAATGGTCGCGAAAAAGCTTGTACGGCTTCTAGATGGTTTTATACCAGTTTATGTTTTTTATGCAGACGAATCGGCGTTTGACACTCGATTTCAGGAGATGTTTCCGAAGAAATTCTTTGCTCTAGCTCCCTCTCCCAGTTCCATATTTTTGGTAATTTAGATGATATTTGTGGTAATTTAGATGATTTAAATTTTATACACACGCGCATTGTGTAAACGATGACACAAATACCTGGCAATATAGTATTTTATATGTATTATAGATCTTTAAGATTTTATAAATGTTCTTCCCCGCGCGCGCAAGAAAGAAAGAGAATGAAAGAGAGAGAGAGAGAGAGAAAATAATTCATCATCTTTATGCACGCATAAAATGTCATGTGCTTCTTTGAGCTGCGGCTGCTTCAACAAATCATCTGTGGTTTGAGCAACTTTATCATGAAAACTTTTAATTGAATCCAACCGCATTGGGCTTTTTTGCCTATCGATATCAGACAATGGGACCGGAATGATAATTTTATAGCGTATGTTATAAGTATATACTTGAGAAAGGTAGCAAACGGATTTTATGCCAACGAGTTTTGTCAGTGTCATCGTTACATTTTTTCTGATTCTGTGAATTCTGTTAAACTATTGATGAGAATATATAATTTTTATTTATTGTAAATAAAAGAAAGAACATTGCTGAAAGAGCGTTTTATATATTATGCATTCTCTGAATTAATACATAAATACACATAGATTTTATCAAGTAATGGTATGACTATTTATTGGTCCAGAGATTGTAACGTAAATTGTACGGAGAAAAGTTCATAATATGAAAATGACTTTGTACAGTGATTTTGCAAGAACGAAAGTACAATTCTAGGAACAGAGGCAATGTGGGACAGGAATAAAAAGTTAATTTGCGATAAAACTGTATTATTTATTAAAAATTAAGCAACCCTTAACATACAAGATAATACATATTTTACATTAAAATAGTTATAAATTCACAAATCACATTGTACATTGTTTGTTACTTGCTTATTGTGCTTATCGTGCATCAAACACAACAACTGAAAGTATAATTAAGGAAAATTTCTCGATATTTAGGTTTGAAATTATAATAATTTAATTATTAATTAAATTAACTTAGAAAATATGAAAAAGGATACGTCTTTTAGTGCGCTTTTTGTACATAATTCGATATCCACATTCCCTGCATCGAATAGGATCTCTGGATCGTATCTCATTATCGTGATGGCATTCTAAAATGACGAATTTTAAATTTGATTATACAAATACAATATAAACAAACAGAAATAATTGTCTTTTTTATATATCAATATCCACACATTCTATATAATTATTAGATACATAATTCTAGAAATTTCGAATATTTGTTGAAGAAAATGCATGAATATAATATTGTCAATTTCATCGAGAAACAATTGATATAATTTATAAAATCTTTAATAAAAAATTAATTTAAAAAATATACATATATACAAATATATATATTATTATATATATAATAAAAATATTGGAAAATATCAATATTAAAACTTTATTTATGAAAGAGAGAGGTTAAGAAATAAAACTGATAAATATGTGTGCCTTTACCTCCGCAAATATATACCATAGTCGGTTTTTGCGTAGATTCAGATTTGCTGGATTCCATTTTAATATAGTTGTAATATTCTTCTTCTTTTTCTTTATAATTCAACCGGCACCGAGTTATAAATACATACGATCATAAACAACACTGTACAATCAGGGCCGCGTGTTCGAGAACATCACACGGATGACGTTCTCGAACGCAGCCTAAGCTGATAAAACTAGCGCATGCGCAAGTGTATATTTCCGCCCTAGGGGAAAAGTTACATGATCGATACTCAGGACGAAAAGAATAAAGATTTCTTTATTCTGATTGGTTACTGCAATGCTTCGAAGCATTGGCCGCGTTCAGCAAAGGAAGCGCTCAGTTATCGTCTTGTCAACACTCGACGTTGATTCGTTGGTTCTAAAAGTAAGAACCAATCACATTCGATTGCTACTAAGCGGTTTTCTCTGCTGAACGCGGCCATTTCTAGCATCTTTCCGATCGCAGCCATAATCGTATAACAGAGAAAAGAAAATATAAGGAAAAATATGAATCAAATAAAGATGAAGACAAATAACAACAATGTAAACTAAAGTCCAGGGGGCCTATTACGGTTTTTGAAACAAAGTGAAAATTACAAAAGTGAGGAAATTTACTAGAATATCTACAATTTCATTTGTCGAAATCTAGTAAATCTGTTCACTTTTGTAATTTTCATCTCGTTTCAAGAACCGTAATAGACCCTCTGTGTCTAGAATGCTGCTAGAATTCGGACAGAGTTCCCCGACATTGAAAATCTACCGTCAAATAAAATAGCAAAGATTTCTTTGTCCTGATTGGTCAATTAAACACCGTTTCCCTTGACGGTAAATCTTCGAACACAATTTTGGAGAATGCTGTTTCTTTCAAAACGAAAGAGCAGAAATTTGTATTATTAGTACATAAAATATTAATAGATAACGTTAGTGCCATCGTTACATAATGGTAAAATGATTGAAACACTTTTTATTTATGCCGCTGTTATATTTTAAAAAAAGAATCAATTACGAGTTAAAAATAATATTGTGTCTCTTATATATTTTAAACACATCATTAAATAACGTTTCTCTAAATATATTTTATAAAAAAAAATTGTTCCAATATATTTAATATCAATTGCGATTTCACTAATATTCTTTTCTTTCCAGTTTTGTCTTTTAATTTTCGCGATATTAATGTGAGATATGTATTTTAATAATTAACATTTTCAATCATTCAAGTGGTATCGCACGCGCGTTAAAATTCAAACAAATTATTTAATTGATGAATTTGTGGGAAGCCAACATGTAATTTTTCTCCTAAGATGAAAGCGTGAAAAGTGAGAAATTTTGCCATAGAAATATTCGCGAATTTCTTCACATTTTCCTAGAGAAAAAGCTAACATCGCTGCTTTAATTGGCGACTGAGAAGCATTTGTGACACCGGATGTGCACCCCAATATGCGGTGTATACTACGCACACGCGTCGCACGAAAATTCGAGAGGGCGAACGGGAAAATCTCCCCGGCAACAAAAGCCCGCGCGCGCCTTTCCAGCATCCGGGACACCCGGCCAATAGGGCCGCTTGGCAACGAACGGCGGGACGAGGCGACGCGCGCGATTGGCCGATTAGCGCGCGCGTGGGGGGCGTGCATGGTGTAGGAACGAAATACATGAGCGTTTTGCTCTCAATGTATCGATAGAACGTCGCGGCGCATGGACGCTCGAAGGGAGGAGCTGCGTGCGCATGTTTTCCCGGACCGTTCACCCCTGATTGTTTTTTAGTGACAATTAGCCGAGGGTAAGCTACGTTCGTTTGAGAGTCGGTCGGACGTTCGCGCGACACGTTGTTCGAGTTGCGACAGGTCGCGAAATACGCGCGCGTGAAAGTCAATCGCGGTGAAAGCCGGTCGGGATGGTTAGCCTCTTATTTACGAAGCGCGCAGAGGGTAACCTTTCTCCATGAGTTTACGGCCGGCGCTATTGGAGAGCGGCAGAAGGGGCGAGAAGAAGGAGAGGAGGGGAAAAGGCAAGGGCAGATGCGAAGTGAGCGTTTCCCGCGCGACGCACACGTGAGTAGAGTGCGAAGCGATGTGAGAGTTGCGTGTCAACATTATCGAAACGTCAAGCGCCGCGCGACGAATCCGCTTTTGTCCAACTTCGCGGCGTAAGTTCATTTGTCGGGGACGCGATAAATCGGAAAACGATGAGTGCCGCGGTATGACATTGACATTCGTCCGGTTGACGCCGAGAAAAATCCCTCGCTCGGCGACGCTTCGAGGACGAAATAACATTTACGTTTCCGAGATTTAGTGGAGATATCGATATGCTAACGCGTTAGGAACTTGTAATTGCGTGTTTGTGTACGTATCTCGGTAAACACGGAAGTGTGTTGTCTCAGTGTGATTGTTTTCATATATTATACCTCAGATGCCATAAACAAAAGTCAACAGTTAAGTAAACTAGTTAAAAAGTAGTTGAAGTTAATAAACACGTGTGAGACTGTTATCTTTATTTGCCGATGGCCTGATACAGATATTAAAGTGACCTTTGCATGTGTTGTTTGGTTAAAATGCGGAATATAACATAACTAACCTTGTGTAATTTTATCGATGGCAACGCGTGAATATATCGTTTAATATGTCACTTACCCCGCACCGTACGCGTGGCGTCGAACGGCAAGCAAGGTAGCTGCACGACGGAACGTCGGATTTTCATTTCGGGGCAGGGTAAAAACGGCGTCGTCCCGAGCACGATGGAGGAAGTCGAGAGCATGCACGTCGCATCGTGTCAGACGCCGCACGTCTCCGTCGACACCAGCAGGCACAATTCCCACGACAGCATCGATAGCGGCTACCTGTCTATTCTGACGCCGCATACCAGCGGTTGCACCTCGGCGGTGGTGAGCGGTTACAGGACACGATCGTCCTCCGGCGCGTTATTATCCGCCAAGAAGCACTGCAGATTCCGTGCGGATCCATTTCAATGCGAGAAGGTGCAGAGACACCGCTCCAAGCTCAATCACGCATTGAACGCATCGGAATCCGACTACCTCATCTCCGAGAGTTCCATTGAACAAGAATCGGTGCTGGAATCGTCCTGCACGAATGTCAACCAAAGTCTCAGTCTGGTGCACTCCACGCCGAGCTGCGTTGACAATAAGTGCGCCGAGATTCTCGGGATCAAGAACAGAAGGAATTGGAGAAGCACGGTACTCATCACTCCTGCGTCCAAGGATTTCCAACTCTTGTCACCACCTCCATCGCCGGCGGTGCCCTCGTCATCTTACGTGGCCTCGGAGCCCGTTCAGGAAGATGTGGAAATGAAGCTAGTCCATTCAACGAAAAGTAAATCGCAGGTCACAACACCGCCAAGACTCAAAGTCGCGATACCGCGGATTATAATCTCACCGGCACGCAAAAGACTCAGTCCCGTGATCACGTCGGTGGAGAATCGGAAATTGAGTAAACTGTCTATCACAGACTTGGCCGTTATATCGGAGATCAAACCGAAGAGGCTGGACTTTAGCCACCGTGGCCTGTGCGTAACGCTACGAAAAAATCGTAGAGCTACTTTGGATTATACAGGAAGAGAAAAGGTGGATTTCTTGTTCCTCCTAGGAGAGGAGAGCAACCACTTGAACTTAGTGTCGAAAATTCTATCTTACCTCGGACCTTCGGATCTGTGTTCGGTCAGTATGGTGTCCACAGCTTGGAGGAGGATTTGCGAGAGCGATTTTTGTGCCAATGGAAGAAGGATGAGTTACATTCTGCGTAAGCAGAACATCAAGGAGAATCTGAGGATGACGACGATGATTAAGAAGGCGAAACGCGAGGAGGATATACAAACGAGTCCTAAGAGCAGGCATTACGTCAGGAAGGGGTTCCTGGTGGACGTACAGAACTTGCTGCACGTTCCGGCACAACCGAGACCGCCGAACAGCCCGCCTGTCTCGCCGAGCAAAGTCAAATTTCACTCCTTCGTCAAGGTAAGAAGAATGAATTTACATATAAATCTCATGTTGCTTTCATATTAAAGTATCTGGTTATGGATACAAAAATTCACTCGATTTGCTTAATAATTAATAGCGATGAATTGTATTAATAAATACATTGGAAAATATCTGTAGAATATTCTAAACATGTTTATTGAAGCTTCGTCTTCTAATCATAAACAACATAATTGACTTTTACGTGTGAAACATTGCAAGAACTCGCTACATATAATATACATACATATGTTTGTTTTGTCTACTTTATATCAATAGAAATTTGATTCTTATTTAAAAAATAGCAGTTTGGATATATATTTGCATGTTAAAATTTATCGAACATTTGCATGTATTAGAAATTACAATGTAATTTCGAAAGAATGATTTTCCCGAATGAATTTTGTGATAGAATGTAGTTGTGAGAAAAGTCACGCTAAAGTCAATGACTGATGCAAAATGTGTTCAGAGCTTCAAAGAATTATGTGCATTAACTTCTCAGGGTTCTCGGGTGTTTGACACCCGCGAGAGCTAGTAATGCATGTTACTCTGTCGAGAATCATGTTCGTTGCGTTTATCTCGTAACAGCCAGAATTCGCACTGGTATCCGACGAGACGCGCTCATCTCTTTAATTCTTTAATATAATACGTATCTCTTTAATTGAGAAATGATAATTTACAATCGGAATACACGAATAACGACTGTGTTTTATCGGGAAAATCACATTTATATTCTTATTGTTAGCAGCATTATTATATATATATATATACACATTAAAACTTTAGAGAATTTATATTAATAATAAATGTGTAAATTGTATAAATGAGATATAATATTATGAAAATAATATAATATAAAAAAGCTAATTTCTCTCTTAAAATAATTTGATATAATTTAATATGGGTGCGCATACATACATACAATATACACGCAAATTATTAGGCGTATCGAATTGTAACGAAAAAATATTGCATTTTTTATTAGCACAAAAAATTAAAAATTTGTCTCAATTATTGAACTGATGATTTCTGTATCGTGTTATTTCAAAAAAAATTAATTCTCTATTTGCCAGATAATAAAACTTAAAATCAGACAATTATATTATGTGCATAATGCGCGGTATTTTAATCACGATGGCAAATACACTTCTTCATTATGCGTCGCTTTACCACGATGCATTTAATTAATTAATAGTTGTGCACACGACCGTTTGCTTTATTAGACTGTATGAAATACAGTGGTCGTATCGACGATTCGAATGGTTGCGTTAACACATTGCGTCAGCCACCTAAATCCGTAATTAAGAATGCCGGTTCGACTGTACATCGTCGTTTCGGCGCTCGTAATTCTCGCCAGAGTAGAAACACGACAGCTAATTACCAACCAGCGATATAATCGATAGGCCGGTAGTCTCGTAATTTCCTTTTCACTTTAAATTGGTATCCGCGTAGTTCGCGCACGCGAAATCGAATCGCGGTCGGATAATTGTTTTGATTGTGAGATCATTATTTTGACATTGATTTATTGTTATATCGTCTTTGAGCCGCCGCGAGGGATAATTGCTTCGTGGGTCGTTAAGACCGGAGATAAGCGAGATCCGTCAACGGTGTGCAGAATTTGACGGATGTTCATTCTTCAATGATGAGACTCTGCCTGTTTTGTATAATTTTATGATACATGGTAATTGAAATTCATATTCCGATATTATATTTTGGTGCGATAAGAAACGCTGCATTTAATGCAATTGCAAAAAAAAAAAAAAATACTTTGTACAATCTTGTGCATAATGATTGAAAAATTGAGCAATGTGAAAATATTAAATTTTCAGATTTAATGTAATAAACAGATGAATTGAAAAAATTAATTTTTTTTCGACAAGATCGTGAAAAAAAATACATAAAATTGTATAAATATTGTATAAATTTATATTACGATATTTGTTGCTTTCCATTTACAATCAAAACTCAGATAATTCTCACTTGCGTTCTCTCTCACTCGCATGTATGCTACGTGCGAGCGAGAGAGAACGCAAGTGAGAATTATCTGAGTTTTGATGTAAATGGAAAGCGACTAGTATATGCGTTATTAAAAAACGTTTACATTAGAAAAATCTTAAAACTTAAACACAGTTTCAAAAAAATCGGAGGGTTCACCTATTCGGAACTTTATCCCACATCTTTAATATTTCTTATATATATCTTAGATTTAGGAATTCTTTTGTAAAATACGAGCGAATCTCATAATACCGCGAGGGAGATTACGACAGACGTTCAGACTTTATGTAATGTTTATGGATATCCTGTGGCATGTTGTGTCATTTCCGCGCAAATGTTCCCATTACATTCCCACGTACGGTTCCGCTAAATCTTCATAAACTTGCGCGCGCGCGCGCGCTTCGAGCCAAAGCGGCGGGACAAACGCGATGATTTACTCGCGGAAATCAGTCAGACGAGCAGCGTGAAGAATCGGTGACAGTGATGTACGTGCTTTCTTGGTCCCGTCGTCGACGAGGCTACCTGCCTGCCGCCAGCCGTTCCCCGCCACTTTCTCCCTCCCTCTCTCTTTCTCTCGTTAAACGACTGATGCATTCCTCTTCGCATTAGATCGCGATAACGGATGCAAGTGGCATACCTAGAGATTCTTTGTTACTCGCATGGAACGACAGTGAGACTCCGGTGTTCGCGCTCATGTCAAAGTCGGTGCTGAGCACACGTCCGCATCGCCATTCTTTATCGTTGCGGAAAGCTCGACGACGATAAAACATTCATTGTCGACCGTGTATGCACGCGTATTGTATTCCGATTATGAGATGGCTTGTTATAAAAGCTTGTTATTATTGAATGAACGTTAAAATTACGAGAGACAATATCTTTTCAAAATACAATATAAATGATTAACGCGTAAAATATTGCAGTCGTAAATTTTCATCGTGAAATTATGTTTCGAGACATCGTTAATCTTTGACAACTGCCGATTTGCGTTTGGAAAAATTGCGTAAAAAGTTATAATTTTCCCCAGATTTAATATCAAGTTATCGAAATGGATAGAATTACAATTTTTTTTTTTTTTTTTTTTATATATAGGCTCGAGTAAGTAATCTCGTTTAAAATAAGATGAGGTAAAAAGAAGCGCCGGTAATCGAGTTTTTAAAAAATGGCGAGATAGTATGCGCGCGGGAAGGTGACGTAAAAAATTGCGATACAAGAAGGCGGTCGGATCGTAAATAAATTCGAGTCGCGGCACGTTGCAAAGAAAAGTCGACGTTAACGTTCGCGAACGGATATGCAATGTAGTTTTAGTGCTCTCTCTCTCACCAAAATTGAGTCTGGCGGGCGATATATCAGAGCGAGAGAGTCCGTCTTTCCTCCTGCACATCCAGAGAGAGCCGTGCTAACGCTCGTTTCTTTTCTGGATCGCAAATCGCCTGAGGCGAATACCGGCCACAGAGAAACAATGCGAATATATTATAGTATCTGGTACTAAAACAAAGGGCGGGTAGAGAGCCCTTTAGTCTTTTACGACAGTGCGAGACAATTCAAACCACGAGCGTGTAATGCGAGTATACAAAACGAGAAATATTTTAAACCACAAAACTTATAAAATTATTGTACTACGTGCAGATGAAAGTATTAATATTACCTAAATGCGCTATTGTAAGTTTGGAATTATATGTATAACATGATTTTTTACGTTTATTTATATTCCATTTTATATTTCATAATTCTTTGCTTTGTTTAAAAACTATACCTTTAAATTGCGAAGATAATGGTACTTTTCATAACAATTATATAACACATTGATGATCGATATTAAATTATCACAGAATTGCGAGTAAGGAAATTTGAGAGCGTTTTTGTGTCCATGCATATATTTGATTTCTTTGGCGCCGTTTACATTTACAGTGAGCCGTTCATGAGAACGAATGCGCAAACGTCCGTGTCTTGATCGTTCTGTCAGCGACTCATTATTAACTTCGAAAAGTTTAGATATTTTCTTTTTATTTGTAATTCTAGTCAATTTAAATTTTATTTATTAAACGTATCAATTTTACTTCTTATCTTTAAAAAAGAATAAATAAATATATCATTTTAAAATTTAATCAAATCAAATTAAAAAATATCTTAAAATATCAACATTTTAAACGCGAGCGTGTAATGCGAGTATACAAAACGAGAAATATTTTAAACCACAAAACTTATAAAATTATTGTACTACGTGCAGATGAAAGTATTAATATTACCTAAATGCGCTATTGTAAGTTTGGAATTATATGTATAACATGATTTTTTACGTTTATTTATATTCCATTTTATATTTCATAATTCTTTGCTTTGTTTAAAAACTATACCTTTAAATTGCGAAGATAATGGTACTTTTCATAACAATTATATAACACATTGATGATCGATATTAAATTATCACAGAATTGCGAGTAAGGAAATTTGAGAGCGTTTTTGTGTCCATGCATATATTTGATTTCTTTGGCGCCGTTTACATTTACAGTGAGCCGTTCATGAGAACGAATGCGCAAACGTCCGTGTCTTGATCGTTCTGTCAGCGACTCATTATTAACTTCGAAAAGTTTAGATATTTTCTTTTTATTTGTAATTCTAGTCAATTTAAATTTTATTTATTAAACGTATCAATTTTACTTCTTATCTTTAAAAAAGAATAAATAAATATATCATTTTAAAATTTAATCAAATCAAATTAAAAAATATCTTAAAATATCAACATTTTAAACATTTTTTAGCAAAATAATAAAATCGCATTTCCAGCTAGTAACATTTGCTTTTTTATCGTGATTCGGGGGAATTAGTTTCACAACGAACCGGACGAAGATAGTCCCGCAAGGAGGAAGGGCGGTTTTCAACGAAAGGAAGGAAGGAATTGTTCCTTAATTAGCAACGGCTACGAAGGGTTCGTTGAGTAGCTGTCTATCGTTGTTGACCGCGTCAGGTGCGGGTGTTTCCTGTGAAGAAAAGACTGCTTGCACAGT